GCCACACAGTGTATCTTTCTTATCTATCCTGCTTAGGTGAACGGGTTTCCAGTTTATGACCTTGTTACACAAAAAATATTTGTTTCAACGTATGTAAACTTTGTTGACAACATTTTTCTTTTCTCTTCCACTGTCACCAACTATTCAAATAATTTTGTTTACCCTCATATTACTGATTTTATAGCAGAATCTGACAGTGACAAATACATCTCTAACCTATCAAGATGGTGTATAACATGGCAACTCCAATGACCATTACTCCTGGTAATTGTCCTTTATCTCCTTCTAATTCTTCTGATGATACCGAATATTTTTCCAATACAAATGCAGACCTTGTTCCCACTGGCTCCACTGAATTTGTTCACCCAGAACCTATTCCTATTGTTTCCACTGAACCTATTCACCCAGAAATGCCTAAAAGACCAACCAAAACCTTAAAACAGCCTGTACATTTTCAGGATTATTATATGTATGGTCTAAAGCCCCGAATTAATTCTAATATATCAACTCTTCATTGCATTTCTCATGTTCTTTCATACCATAAAATCAGGGACTCATATAAACCTTTTATTCTTGCCATTTCTCAAGACTAAAAACCCAAAACTTATAACCAAGCCATTCAATTGCCTTGTTGGAAAGATGCAATGCTTGCTGAAATTAATGCACTAAAAGAGAACCAAACTTGGGAATTAATTACTTTACCTCCCGATAAGAAGTCAATTGGTTGTAAGTGGGTATACAAGATAAAAAGAAAGGCAGATGGTACCATTGAAAGGGTATAAAGCAAGATTGGTTGCTAAAGGTTACACTCAGCAACCTGGTAATGATTATTTGGATACTTTTTCACCAATTGCTAAGTTGACTACTATATGGACATTATTGGCTATTGCTGTTGTTAAAGATTGGTTTCTACACCAACTTGACATTAATAATGTCTTTTTGCATGGTGATTTACATGATGAAGTTTATATGACACTTGCACCTAGTTTTCATTTTACTCACGAGAATCAAGCACGTAAACTAAAGGAAAGTCTTTATGGTTTAAAGCAGGCAAGTAGGCAGTGGCATTGCAAGCTTACTGATGCATTGAAAAAGAAAGGTTTTGTACAAGCACATTCAGATTCTTCACTGTTTCTTAAGTATACTACTTCGTTCATTGCACTTGTTATATGTGTTGATGATGTTATCTTCGCTAGTGATAATATGGATGAGATTCAAACTGTTAAAGTCTATCTGCATGATGTATTTAAGATAAAAGACCTTGGAGATTTAAAGTTCTTTTTGGGAGAATGAAACTTTTTTAAGGAGTAGAGGTGATAGCTATTTACAAATTAGGTATAATGAAGTCGTTTAATGAGAAAAATAGCCATTATATGGAAATTATTCATTCGTCCTATTATCTCCATTTTACAAGGTCAATGTATTTCTTATAATCTTATTAGTAATTAATATTTCTTACTAATTCTGAAAAACAATTCTCAATCTTGTACATCCTCAATAGCCAAATGAAGCATCTGAATTTATTTACAATAGCCTTCAGCAGTGTGGTGACCACGAGTTATTGTTTGACAAATGTTCAACACAAGGTTTAGGGCAACAATGTCTTAGCAAAAGGTATTACAAGAGCCTATTCCAATAGATAAAAGTTGCTTTACAAATTTGGTATGAACAAATTTAGATCAACCAACCTTTTGCTATGGATCCATTTATTTTTATTTCACTTAAGGATGTCAACAAGGTGATTTGGAATGGGTTTTGTCAAAACCAAACCCACCCCGGGCAAAGAATGTGTTGCCTCAAACCTGCCTCGAACCTAGAGCGAATCCTCAAGAAATTAGTTTTCTTTTTGTGTGCACCATGCGGGTTTATGGTGAAACTCATCTCGATCTATCCCGAGTAGATTTGATAAAAAATATTGTCATGCCTCCCTCAATCCGCCTTATCTGTTCATCCTGAAACTCTTAAAATTAAGAAACACTTGAAATAAGATTAAGTCGAAGAAAAAAAAAAAAAAAAACCTCAATCTATCTAGTCATGCTTCCAATGATATCAGCATTTTCATACAATGATATAAAAGCAAAAATCAGACTATTCATGCTTCTAATGAAACAACATCAACATTTTCATACAATATTATCTTAGAACTTTATCTTTTTTTAGATAAACTCAAACAAATAAAAATTATTTTATCATGAGTTTCAAAATTCAAAAAAATAAATTATTTATTTAGTTAAGAAAAACCCAAAATATAATGAAATATTGCACATTTTACCTTCCCTTTAAATCTCAACCCACATTCAACTTTGACAACATATGCGATGGCTTCCACAGTCTCATGATGAAATCTACTTTCCACCATGTTAAAACTAGACTTTGAAGTAACTGTAAAAACAGGAATTGCAAGGTAATGTATTTGTTACCATTAGCTTCCTGCCAACTCAAGATATCAAATCTACAATTCTTCTTTGAGATAATTATCCAACTCTGATGTCCAAACAATGTTTAAGAAATTATTTATTTGCTCGTGTATTTCATCAAAAAATTGACTTATGACTTTGTGTGAAACTGAAATACATGCGAAACGAAATATCT